AAATAAAACAAACATAATCGATTCTAATATAAAAACCAATGTGAAGGATGAATCTGATGCTGTTTAATAAGTTTGTTGATATCAGGTCCCAATTTACTCAATAGCCGCAAGTTACCAGGTTCGGTAACATGCAAACGATTTCTCTTTTTAGTAAGCAGCGTTGTCACAGCACTAAAACCACGTTCATACAAATATGACGATGGGAATGCCATCAAGAATCCTTGAACGATTGACCACAATCCAGGGTACAATTGCGGGATCGGTTTTTGTAGCCAAAATTCTTGGTGGCCATTTTTGAACTTGATTTTTATTTCCTCGTTCGTTGTGAATTCTATAAGTTCTTCTTCCAGCTGAGGTGATATTGCTGTGTTGACATTTAAAAACGGATCCAACGCCCAGTCTGGTATTTCCAAGTTCAAAATGTCCTAGTATCGTTCGGTGAAGTCAATGTGGAGGTTTTCCAAATGTTGGCAGTCGTCGTTACTGCAGGATACTGATAAATTCGGAAAATTGTGAAACTCACGTCTGCCCATATTCTGTTTGTGTAAAAGCAGTTTGGCTGCGAAAGCAGCAACGACATTTTTTGTTTTTCCATGTCGTTGAACAGTTTATACAGTTCTGTCATGTAAGCTATATCATTCTTTGACGTAATGAGCTTGTTGCGAAATTCTGTATCTTTAGTTCCCAAAAACTTTATCACAGAGTCACAGACTCAGAGTCAACAGATTGTAAAATCGAGTCAAACAATTGCCTCTTGATAGCCTACGAACTTCAATATGAAACAACAAACGGTTGAAATCTTCGTCATTAGTAACACAAAGCTGATGAAATAATCTATCATTCAAAGAGCTGTTACCAATTTTATTAACTGCTTTGATGACATATTGCAGTGATTGAAATAGTCATTCACTTAAATTTCTAGCAACCAAATGTTGTCTATGAATAACGCAATGTACAGCAAGGACATCTGGAATTATATTTTTGAGTATGCTACGAAGCCTTTATGGCCTTTATAGCCGGAGCGCCATCCGTAGTAACTGATATAATATTTTTCAAGAGAACCTCTTTCTCATCACAAAACTTTTCCACTGTATTGAATATGGTTTCGCCTTCACATATTTTCTCATCTTTAATAACCTCACGAGTACGAGAGCAACAATGCTTCATTAGTTGGTAAGTTAGAGGTACAGACTCATCGAGCTGAATTGAGAATTGACTAGTCCTCAGATTATTGCACAATGATTCTTCAATGTTTTCCGCCATTTCATCAATTCGTCTTTGCACAGAATTGTTACGCAAAGGAATTTTTCGGATAATATCTGCGGCCAGCAGCACATTATTGCTTATGAAGCACAGTGGTTATTACTTCTTTTATTGCTGGCAAAATTAACTCGTCTCCGATGTTGTGTGGTTTGCCTTTCTGAGCAATTAACAAAGAGATATTGTATGAAGCTCGAAGTCCGTCGTCATCTTGCTTAGCAGGCGACGAAAAGAGTTTTGCTACACTTGGCTGAGTATTATGCTTCTTCTCTAGGTCTTGAAAATATGCTACATTCTTGTCTTTCTTATCTATCCAGATTTTATTCAAATGATCTTAGTCTTGAAGGCTTCATTGCTTCATTCGAAAATGTTTTTAGACATAGAGGGCACAAAGGCGACGTTGGGTTTGTGGGATTTTCAATGAATCCGAATTTAATATATTCCGTAACAGTATTGCCGTCTCTTCTTTTTTACTTCCGACATTGTTTTGTTTTGAGAAATACGTAAGTAAGTGTTGAACTTTAGTACTGGTTATCCATTAGTTAAACCGCAAATGAAAATAAAATAAATATTACGTTGTTTATATAGGATTTCATAAGCAGCACGCACCGACAGGAATAAGACAAACATGCATGAACTCGTTTATCTCATTCGACGCTCAATCGTACTCAACAAGGAAGAATAAGTATTCTATGAAACAGCCGATACAGGAATGCACAAATCGGGTTATTTAACAAAAACTTGTTAAAACATGGTTGTCCGCGGTCTATTATCTACGAAAATTACCTATCTAGGAATACTATTAAAATGTGAAACTGTGTCTGTTGCCTTTTTATTTCTTTGTTTGTGTCTACTTTCAATAAAACAGGATAAATATACGAACTACACGGACAATAATATCGTACCGGTTAGTTTGAGCAATCTCTTAATTAATATTTGATGTTCACAAGTTGTAGTCGAGAGTCGAGAGCTCAGTCGGTGTCCAAGAATCTTCCTAGGTGAAATTACAAATCTCCCCTTGAGCCTCTACACAACGCCCCCATTTTTTTTCTGGGTCTCTTACCGCCCTGCCGTTTAGGCCTGCAGCGCCCACAAGAGGGCGTTATCGCCCACTTTGGGAAAGGCTGAGTTATTAGAACTAAAATTAGATAATTAATGATATTTATACATGATCGACTATTGTTGTTACGGTTTTTTTAATCCCTTTAGTTTTAGAGTTAATCCGCTAAAACGGATTTAGAACAACATTTTAATGCGCAAAAGACAACGTCTCCTGTCGCAAGTCACGGGAACTTCAAGCATATAATTGTTTCACAAATTAGTCACTATCACTCCGTTGAGACGAGAGGTCGTTGACAGAATTTGCGGCTGAGCTGTTTAATCGTCATCGTAAATTATCAATAATGATGGCTAATTGTCGAAGGTAAGTTTGTGAATTACCTACCTATGTTGAACGGTAAAATAAAAAAAAAATTTTTTCATGTGCATAAACGCACTTAGAACTTACGAATTTTGATTTCATCAGTAATAGCAGATATGAGGAAAATTCATCGGTATAAGAGCGAAGGTCGTTCAGACGATTTTAGTTCTTATTATGTGCCGAATAACATTTAAATTAGTTTATTCCCGCTTTCGTGGGCCACTCGATTGATATGACGATACCATTTACATTTTTTACATTACATATTATAAATATATAATATTTATAAAAATGACAGTATGATTTATGCTTTATTTCCGATATATTCTGGAAACTGAATTTCTAGAATCTTTCCATGAAATTTATGAACATTTAAGACATCACATAAAATTTAAGATATAAAACTCTGAGACGTCATAACTTATTTATGTATTTTAAAAAAAAACCGAACATGTATTTTTTATTTCCATTACGCAGTATCCTTTAAAATGGTCAGTGGTTTTTTATCACCATGTATAAACATAATACAATACTTACTGTACTGGGACCGGTTGTAAATTTATTAGTCCTATTGGCGACTCCACAGTTTTTTTCTGTTCCACACAAAATTTGTGTCTGTAATGAAATTTCATAAAATACGATACATATTATACTCGTATTTGTTTGGTAAATAGAATAAACACGAAAATAAACAAATTGCTCTAATCTTCTTCTTGTCGAGTCAAAGACAAAAACCAATAAAATAATTGTGTTATCAAAGTGTTAAATTTCTTTAAATTTAAAATTTTATTTATTTAATTTACATTTCTTTTGCTCTAATGTAAAATACCTACCATTAAGTATGTGTAATTATTTTGTTCAATATCAAAATCAGATGCCGTAATAAAATAAAAAAACAACGATATCATCTATTTATTCTCTGTCTGTACTAAGTCCTTTCTGGACTTTGTGTGTGTTTTGCAGAGGTAACCTAACAATCAATTAGATCAAAATCATACTGTCATTTTTACAAATATTATATATTTATAATATGTAAAACATGTAAATGGTACCGTCATATCAACTGAGTAGCCCGCGAAAGCGGGAATAAACTAATTTAAATGTTATGTTTTAAAAAAACAACCAAAATCGTCTGCACGACCTTCACTCTTATACCGGTGAATTTTCAATCCTATTACAGATGAAATCAAAAGTCGTAAATTCTACGTGCGCTTATGCACACAAAAATAACATTTTTTATTTTACCGTTCAACATAGGCAGGTAATTCACAAATTTACCTTCGATAATTAGCGATCAATATTGATAATTTAGACGACGATTAAACAGCTCAGCCGCAAATATAAAATAAAAAGTATAAAATATCGAGGAAACTTTATTGTTTTATGTTTCTGATTAATGTCTATGCTTGAATATGTCGTGTCGTTATAAAATATTTTATTTTTAACTTTAAAGTGGATTTACCCCTCTAAAATTAAATCGAAGATTAGTAATTTTTCCTCTGCTCCTTCTTAAGATGTCAATTGAACTCATTGTCGCTTGCGATAAGAACGATCCACAGTGTCAGTTTGATGTGCTCGTACTCAAACGCATTCAGGTTACATTCTGGCAACACTATCCTCCCTCTTACCCACTACCTCAAAACAGTCGTCATGAATTCAAAAACTTGAGACAACAAGTGTACGCGAGTGACACTCAAAATAAACCATAAAAACTCTTTCAATACTATTGATATCTGCTCAAAAATCATATTCGCAATTCAAAAAATGTAGACATTGTAACGAGCCAAAAACAAAACTGTGACACGTGCACGTGCTGAATGTGCGAGGTCCCTTCATGAGCTAAGTCCTGGCCCCTCCAAATAGTATTATATACTAACGCAAGACCTCGCCTAATCATAGCAGTACCGACCGCTAGCGTTAATAACGGTATTTGGAAAAAAATTATGAATGAAATACTCTTTATTGCATATAAAATTACTATGGCAACACAAAACAGTAACGTAAGTAGTAAAGTAAGATAATGTGCAATATTCAATATCGTCGCTTAGCAAACAACACCCCACAAGTAATTTGGAGTAATTTTTAAGGAGAGTGAACTAATATTATTGCATACAAGAAATCTATTATTGTTAATAACTGCTGTATTTATGGATAACACAGAATTGTATATGAGTTGGTTGTAAAATGTTTATTGATATCACGTTTTATTTGAACTTGAGTAACGTTCAGAAACAAAAAAAATCACCATTTTCTTAATTGAGCGGTGTTGTCTGCTAAGCGACGATATGCATCAAATAAAATACCTACGTATGCAACTTACCCTTGGCCTGCCCCGCGTTGTCATTCTGCTGCACCAGGTCTCTGTACCCCTGCAGGGCCTTTTCCAGATGCTCGACTCTCGCCGACAGCAGCGCTGCACTACCCGCGCCTGTTTCGCCGCACAGCGTTACTGTTAACTCCTTCTCGTAGCAATCCAGTTGTTGCCTGGAAAATTATTACGTCCCTACATCCGTAACGCGATATTATTGGAATCAATTCCTATCGATATTTTTGAACATTATCAGAACCATTACTTTGAAATAAATTAATGCTTTCTATGCAGCGATCTGGAGGGTTTAGTCCTGGAGTGCGACAGCAACGGTTGATGAACGAATGAATGAATGCATCGATCGATCCAATTGGTTTGTTTCATGGCATTGGTAGGTATTTTTAACCGACTTCAAAAAAAGGAGGAGGTTCTCAATTTGACTGTATATTTTTTTTGTACGTATGTTACGCCGTAATTCCCGGTTTGTTTTTTGTGAAAAATTTATGAAGAAAATCTTCACCTCTAAAGGTAGCAAACTATGGGATGAATGAGGTCGGTTTTTTTAGTAATCTGTAGTGAGATTATTATTTTTCAAAATTAATGTCTATTGGGTGTAACACTCAATCAAAGACTTACAGCGAAGTAACAAACCTATAGCTATCTCGTTCCCTCGTGACCAACAGCAGTCGCTTCTGCAGTCTATGAATGAGGTTCTCGTGGTTCTTGCGAACTGTTAGGAGGTCATTCAACTTCGATGTCGCCTTATCGCGCTCGTACTTCGCTGATGCCACTTCCTGTGGTATTTTTTTTTAAACGAAAAGATGTACATGTACTCGATAAACCGATTTGTAATCAATTTCACAATAATTATTTATTAACATTATTATATATACCTTTTATTATTATCACACCATTTAGTTGTGTGATAATCTGATAACAACAAAATATAATGAGTGATATTACAATGTACGAGTGACATAACCACATTCATTCGTAACATTCGGTAGCTATCGTTAACTTTCAATAGAACGATTTTTTTAAATGTAGATAGACCCTAAAGTAGCGGCAGGTTGTGCCTATCTACTAAATGAATAATATAGCCCAATAAATTCTTATTATTATAGATACAAAAGTCAAACAAACACAAAGAAATATTTCTACAATCTAATTGGACTCGAACCAGCGTCTGTTGCCATAGCGTGGCTACAGACGCTCGTGAGGCACATCGGAGAAATTATTCTTTGAGTTCGTAAAATTTTTGTATCACATAATAACAAACTATTGCAGTATTTTCACACAAATATATGAATGTCATATGGTAGTAATAACATCATGATATTCAATAATATAAATATGTTACCTCGGTAAGCTGCGTGAACTGTGACTGTACTTGTGAGTTGTTAGCAACAGCGGTAAGCTGGTTACTAAGAGCAGAGTCGAGGGCCGAAGAAAGCGCTCGCGCTGTCTCCACACCATGCGCCCGCGCCGCTGCTATCCAGTCTTCTAGTGACGATTCCAAACAGGCGATTTTTACCTGAAAAAAATAATACATTATTAGCATTGACGTACCAATAAATGGACATCAGGTTCGCGCTAAAGTGTCCGCACCTGTAGGGCGTTAAAATCGCATACAGAGCGTCAATCGCGCAACAGTCTCCGTTTATTCGACTGACAGCGCGGTTGTCAATCATGCAGTACCATATGATAATAACTTGTAAAAATTACTGCAGTACAGTGTAAAAACAGGATTTTGTATCATATTTTCAATAAACACATATTGTGTTATCATAGTTCTCATTTAAAAGTGTTATTTTGTACAGTTTTATCGTATTCAATTTATATATAAATGAATTGTAAATATAAATTACAAAGCACACGAAATAATCAAATAGCTAACTGTCCTTTTTCTACACATTGCATGCGCAAAAGATGGAAAGAGACCGATTAGGTCAATTCCAAGAAGCTTATATAAACTTCTTGGTCATTTTGAATTGTTCGAACCACAAGCGATTAAAATATTTAGAACAAAGAAACTATAGTCGCTTTGATTTTAATCATTTTTTTTTTAATATTTTTTGTTAAACGTAAGCATTACCTAACAAAATATTGTTGTACTCGTTTTACGGCTTGGAATTACCTATCAGAAGTCAGAAAATACATTATGCCCGAAATAACGTTAGCTCGAATTTTCATAATGTGAAATGTATTTTTTTAAGAAGATTACAAAACAAGAGATTGGTCTTTGTGAAAATCATCAAAATTATTCGAAAGCGTACCGGTTTTATTATAAATCGGTTTTCGGAATTACGGATATTTGAGTTAACGTCTAGTTGGAATATCAGTACATTTCTTATAGTACACGCTTACTTTCACATTTGTAGTAATATTTGTATATATGTATCTGCCCAACTCTTTATTATTTCTTTAAGTGAATTTGTACAAAATTCGATATAATAATATATATAACAATTAATTCGCATTTTCGATAAAGGCTACTCCATTACTCTTGTGTTTAAGTAATTTTCAGTCGAAGCTAAATATGGTGCATTTTGTTAAGTATCCAGTAGAAGCTGAATATGGTGTTTTTGGACCCTTAAATGGTTGCAAGCAAAATTAGGCAGTACTGCATTGACGTTACAATTTAAATTAAATGTTTTAGTTTTTTATATTACGTTACATGTCACTACGTTCCTATAGGTTAACTTCGGATATTTTTTTCGTGGTTTTTGTATTAGACCCGATGTCCAGTGTGGATGTGCATGCGCCCAAGATACATAATGGTCTTTTTCGGGGCACAGTCTACTTAATATTGTACTGAAGTAGAAATTATATTATTTGTTATAATCGATACGAAATCAGTTACTAGAATTTTATAATATTTTACGCATTGTCTTTGGGATTATAACGTCTACTCTTTTCGCAGCATATACAGGGTGGAGCAGAACGACCGACAAAGCCGAAAACTGAAGTCTTAAATATGTACTCAATTGTCAGTACTTAATTGTACTGAAAGTGTTTTTGCCCTAAGTGTAATGGTTTTCGAGTTATTCAATGATAAAGATTTGCTTGAAAAGTCTGTATTGTCAACCCTACATCATAAAACACAGCTGTTTGGAGGCAACTACCGGGAGGTACTCAGGGCAAAAACTTTGTAATTTAATAGGTCGTTGACTTCCGTCGTTGGTCAGCACTCCATCTGTCGTTTACTTTGATAAATCACTTTCTTTAATAAGTTATCATGTGAATGATGGTTAATTATGCGGGTATTTTATAGCATTAATTGGAGAGTAATGAACACCCCTAAATTCCGTGTTTGACGACCCAATATTTACTTTTACCGAAAAATGCACCTCTCATCATTGACCTCTCATAGAATCTTCGGGAGACATGTTGTTTCTAAACCATACAACAATTTACGAAAAGTAAAACTTTCTAAATGACCCTGTCAGGAGTTCAACTCATATTGCCTGCATCATAAGATAAGACTAACTGAAATAAACATAACTAAATTAAGTTAACACGTTCTACAACATGCGTCAGGTACTCAAATTATAATAGTCTCGTAACCCTTAATCCGGCCCTAACGTAAAATAGTAAATTGAGGCAGCCAATCACATCACTTATAACCGCTTAGAGATTTAGAGATGGACACTTGATACCTGTTATCTGTTTTTGGTAGCATAATCGGGAGATCGTTTTTTTGTACTAGTCTATTTTTCAATGCATTTGGAAATTAGTTTTAATTTACTCTACAAGAATTTACTAACTTTAAAACAAAGAGTTCAATGAGTACAACATTTAAAACCAAAATTTCTGTTAACTTGAGCTAAGTAGTTGAAGTTTTGATAAATGTAATGTAAAAATAAATAAATGGGTTCTTGGAGGTCTGCAGACCACCTCCACGGTTCGTTTTCTTATTTTTGAGTATCGATTATCACATTGCTAAATTTGATTATTTACAATTCATTAAACGACCTGCATTTACCTTTTGAAAAATATCTTTAATTTGAAAAAAAAAAAGAATTTGATTTGAGCTTTTACATTTAAAGTAAATGAAACTCATGTATGTAGGGTTCTCAACGTGATATTTTCGGCTTTGTCGGTCGTTCCGTTCCACCCTGTAAAATATGGCTTTAATAGATATTTCTTGCCAAAATTTCAATTTAACTTATACGTTGCCACAATCCCACACACAATCAAGGTAAAAATAGAATGAAATACTGTCAATAATTTAAAATACTGTTCATGTGTGGCAAAATTTAAACACTACAGATTGTCTGGAAGCCAATTACAGTCTTTACTATAACGTGGCTAGGCGTTTTGTTATAAAAGATTTTATATAATTCGGATGCAACATGGACATGTTAATGCGCGTAACATTTAACATTTATAGGTACACAAGAAAATTAAAATTTTGCTTGATTAGAATGATACACGTCAAACGTCATGAACCATGATGGAACACGATCAATGAAATCGAGAAATGATGAAAAATCATAAAAACGAAAAACATATTGACTGAACTATACGAAATTTTAATCAGAGATATCATAGTAAAACTGAAATCAACTCAATATTCATTAATGGGGTTCGCCCCACGGATAATGTCGTATTGGCGTGACACCACGATTTGATAATTTTCAGTTTAATTTCCATAAAAAATAATAGACCACACCATTGACCTACTAACAATAATAATAATAATAATAATAATAATAACGCATACACTCAACATAGCCCCGCAGTAGGGAAACCCTGTGTCGCGGGTGCCATGGACACATACATACACAATCACAAATGAACACCCAAACTCACGAGAGAAATAAATGTAGGCCATACAAATATTTCTCCCGGCCCGGGAATCGAACCTGGGACCACTGCGTGGCTGTCCGGCATGGTAACCGATCGGCCACGAAGGCAGTCAATGCAGCACACTTGAATAATAGTATAATAAATAGTACATGACGGATGAAAAATAAATTGACAACTAACTAAAAATAACACATCATAGCTCAAAACAACACAAGTAATTTACAAAAAAGAAAAATCCTTCAAGTAACATTTCAATAATTACTGTCTAACTATATCTCGACTACTTTTTCAGTCGTGTGCTCGACTTTGTATTTTCGACGTGTCCCATCACAAACTTCATTCCGTTGGAAATGTCGTGTGAAAATAAACATTAATAATATCTTTATTTTAATTAACTCAAATTCATTTATTAATGATTTGTGGATTTCAACAATCATAATGTTAATGACTGGTGAAAATATTTATTGTTTTGCCATATTAAAATATATATAATTTGTATGACGCTGCTACAAGTTTACGTCGTGCTAACTTTGTCGACCAGTCATTCTAAATAAGCTATATTTTACAGAGTATAAAATCAAAGTTCCAAACTAAAATCCTAAAATTATTACAATATAGGAAAAAATGTACCTTAGCTTCATGCAACTCTTGTTGCACAGGTTGCAAGGATTCAACCTTGGTAGTGAGAATATGAACTTGTTCTTCCAATAGAAGCTTATTGCATACTGCGTCACGAAGTGACCGTTCGGTTTGGCGGAGACGCGTTACTTCTTTCTCTAATTCCGCCATGTTTGATAGGCGTTTTTGGGCTGTCTGAAATTTAATATTATTTTTATTGTCAATACATATCGACTCGTCCGTAGAACAAAGATCAATGTGCAACACTACTTGTTCTCAGGACATAATACATTTCGTTCGTTCTTCTTCACTGTGGATGTCAGATGAACCGTTGATCGATTTTATATTTCCGAAATGAAATAAAATGTACAAATTCTCAAAATACCTTTGCATAGGCCTTCATTTGAACAATGAAATTGTTCTTGTAACATACTTATTCTCTTTTCGCTATATAATCCATTGGACTCTGTTTTTCAGATGAGTCGATATATATTACATGTACTATTAAATATGGGCCTATCCAATAAAGGATTTGGTAATAATTCTGTTTAACAATTGTAGCACAGTTACACAATGGGGTCACGAAAAACAATAATGACTATTTAAGTTATGAATGTTAACTAATGTAATGATTAAATTACGATTTTTTTTTATACAGTGACGGGATGAACAAGTCGTGCGCCTGGTGGTAAGTGACACGCCTATCCATAACAGTTGCAGAGCCGCTCAAGAGCTTTAAATTGCAAAGATCTTAGGGGCACTGCCACTGCGCCCGCCAACCCTGTTATATAACTTATATAAGTGGACTAGTCCCATGTGCGTGTAATTTCACCAGCACCCTTGTAAGCCAGTACACAGTAATACTCACGTTACTGCTTGGCGGCAGAAATAAGTAAGGTGGCCGTGCCAACTCTTTCGCATGGAGCTCTACTGCTACTTATTAGTAGACTACGAGAAATAATGTAATGGTCAATTCTGTCACAAAGCTTCACAAAAATTATGAAGAAGTTATAATACATCAGGAGATGCTGCTGCTTTTCTATAGTATTTATGCCAGGATTATGATTGCTCTTAAATATAATAAAGAAAAACTCACTATGCTTAAGCTCCATTTGCAATAATTTCAAAATCATTGAATGTTTCCAAAATATTTTTGTTAAAAAATTAATTAACATACCTTAGCCTGTTGTTGCCAATCTTTATAAGAGTCCCTCTCATACTCCAACTCTTTGAGTTTACTGGAAACCTGCTGCAGTTCAAAAGTCTGTTTCTCCAACTGTGTTCTCATCTGTGTGCACTGCTCAGCCCGACTTGTTTGTTTTGCTAATTCTTTCTTGAGCATTTCAATTTCTGATTGAGCGCCTTCTAAGGCCTGAAGGAAAATAATAATGGACTATAATTTTCACTATTTATATTCACTAAATATGAATTATTTTGTTTGTCACATTGTATAATTTTTTCATATTTTCTATTTTCATTTGAGGATTCTGGAGTTCAGATTCTGAAGGATCAGGCTTGTTTGATTAGTAACAGGTCCTGTCTAGTATAATCAACAATGTAGTATACCTGTAACAACTCATCCATGTCTTTCTTCATCTCGGAGACCTGATCTTTACTGCTGACATTGGCCTCCAGCAATTTGTCCTTCAAGTCAGCTATTTGTTTTTGTAACTCTGCTTTATCCTTCTCCCATTGGGCTTTGCTGTCTTTATGCTCTTTTACAACCTGGAAATTTCAGGTAATGTAGTACAAAATTTAAACATACAATTGTATTTAATAAATGTAGTCTTACATAATGAGGCTTGACTTTAACAATGGGTCAGTCACATGTGTAAATTTTGTTATATGTAAAATGTGATAACTAATAAGAAAAAATGAGAAAGAAAACGTTTCTTAGTAAGTTAATTTTATTACTACATCACAATAGATAAGAAATTTCCCAATATGAGGCCATGCCTCATCTGGCACATTTACAATGATTACCTCATTAAACTCATCCTTTAACTCCTGTTCTCGTCTTCTGATTAACTGTAGCCTGTCATCCATATCAGAAAGAGCTCTTTCATCTCTTTTATGCTGTTCCATAAGAGATGCTTTTTCCTCTTCAAAGAGTATCTGCATCTCTTTACGGATGGTATGCTGGCGGCTTACTCGGGCTTCTAGTTTTGTGATCTGGTAATAGGAACACAATTGATATATTTTTACAGACAAAATTGACAATATAAACAATACACTGGTATAGTAAATCTGAATATGAATTAATGAATTCATAGAGAGACAAAGTGTAGATCACTGCTGAATCAACACAAATGCTAAGCCTGGACCACAACATGTAATGTACATTCTTTACTCTGACTACATAACAAGATTATTTACTTGCTGCAGAAAGCAGGAGTGAGATTTGTACCACTTGCTTAGTTTGCGCAAACACGTTATCAATTAAAACAAAGGAGTCGCTACAGGGGTCCACCACCGTTCTCCATCAAACATTAATGTAAACAATTACTGTCAAATAAGTAACACTCAAAAAAAAAATTTAATTTGGATGTGTATATTAGACAAATAAATTTTATATATATATATATATATATATATATATATATATATATATATATATATATATATATATTAATTTTATATATATAATAATAATAATTTTGTTGTAAAAGTGTGAATGGAAATATATATAATATATAATATTTATTTCCATTCACACTTTTACAACAAAATTAAACATCATCTATTTTGATAGCATAAATCAACTACAGTAATGCACAGCCCT